GGGTTGCCATGAGTTGGAATTGACTTGATAAAATATATATATATATATATACACACACACACACACACATATATATATATATATATATATACTAGGTGCACTGTAGGATAATGCTCTGGACTGCAAGGTCAGTTTGAACTGCAAGGTTGGCTGTTCAAACTCACCAGCCACTCCTCGGAAATCCTATACAGGATCACTCTGAGTCAGAACTGACTCAAAGGCGCTTAACAACAACGACAACATACTGGTTTCTTATGGGTTTTCCTCAAAGACAATAATTATATTTGCTCAAGAGTTTTTCTCTTCTTTCTCTAGTCTTTCTGGCTATATTTTAACTGTCTTTCTATTTGCCTGTCTCTCTCTTTTCTGACTTTGCCCTCTTGTCAATTTAATGATAATACTTGTTGTGGAGCTATAGGATAAGCACTGAACTGCTAACCACAAGGTCGGTGGTTCAAACCCACCAGCTGCTCTCAGGAATCCTGTACAGGGTCACTTTGAGTTGGAACCGACTTGATGGCACACATCAATGACAGCAGTAATACTCCATCTCCAGGGTACTTGCATCCTGCTTCACATAAACATAATAGCAGCCCCCATTAGTTTTCTACTGTGTACCAAGTCATTTTTGGGCCTTATCTCAAATTATCAGAATAATCCTAAAAGGAAGGGTTTATGATTTTAATATAACAGAAGAGAAAACTGAGGCTTTAGGCATCACCCAAAGTCTAACACAGGGTTTGGCACATACGAGGTCCTCAGTAAATGAATTAATGTTTGACTTTGTTGAATTAATGTTGAAAGACCTCAAACCCAGGTCTAATTCACTCCAAGCCTCATTCCCTTTCCACATGGGGTACCATGCCTGCCTCCCTCAGTGGCCCACAAAGCCGTGCATTAGGTTTGTGAAAGCACGTTTCTGAAAGGGCTTAAGCAAAACAAGCCAAAGTCAGTATAGGGGAAAACGTAAACTAATGTGCACAGGCGCCACAGAAACCCGATCTGGTTCTGAAGACTCAAATCCAGAAATGAAATGAGCTGAGTGTTGGTGTTAACATTTAAAAATGCTATTGCTTTTCAGAAAATATTCTGCCTAAGGAGCTACAGTGGCAGGCTGCCAGAACTACCTGTAGCTCCAAATAGAAAGAGAAATCCCTGAGAAATTGGATTCCAACTTTTTGAATGGGGTCACATTGGTGTGACAGTGTGAACATAGTCATCTAAGTATTTGAAAGCCTTTTGTGAATTAGTGTGGGATTTTATGGGACGGGCAGGGGATCCACAAATCAGGTATTCTAAATTCTTCCCTGTCACTAGATTTGTTAGCTTTAAACTAGATATTTCTCTTTCTGGGCTTCAGTTTCCTTATCTGAAACATCAACTTTAGATTATGTGATTTTTTTTTTGAGGTCTCTCCAAACTATGGGAAAACAAAACAAAACTAAATAAAACAAAACAAACCCGAGAAAAACCTTCCTGGTCCTTGCTCATTGTTGTCGTTTTTTTCCTGAGGGTAGTGGGCACTGAGAAATTAGGGATCTTGTTCGACGTTACCTGGTAATTTAGTGAAGCAATACAAATTAAAAACAGATTTTAAAACTCCAGAGCCTCACCACCCTTCTTAAAGCATGAATCACACACCCTTGTGCCTGTTCTCATCGCGTGGCTGTATCCTCACACTAGTTCTGTGACCCACTTAGAGAGATTTCGTGCGCTCTGAAGTGTGTACTTACCAGAGTGGCCCAACTGTGTCATGTACCATCACGGCCTGCCTTGTTGCCCAGCTCACAAACCCGGAGTGGGTACAAGAAGCCCTTTACAGAGCTCAGGGTCTGCACTCAGTTTGGGTTTTAGAGATGAAGTCTGCTCTCTTGGTCATTTTATATGTGCAGGTTGCTCTGTGTACCTGAAGGGACATGTCTAATCTGTGGTGGAACAAGCCATAGCCCGGTAGCCCTTTGGATATATTCTTGCTCCTCCTCCTTTCTTCTGTCCTCATGTCACTGGATTGTGGTCACTGCTTCCCAAGCTGTGTAATCGTGAGGACGCCACTGATGTATTTACATCTCCATGTCCTCATCTAGAAAAGAAGGGTGTTACAATGGGTAGGCCCTTGCTAGGGTTTATGGGAGGCTGGGATTCTAAACCTGATCCCTTCCAGGCTTGAATGAATGAATACCGGTGGGATCTGGTCACCATCTCATCTTGATGGGGCATAATTTTAAACTCAGGTTAATTTCATACAAAGTCCTGACAGTAAGTCGACCCTCTCAAGTGGTAGGCAGGCCAGCATTTAATTTGCGGTAACATGGTACAAAGTTAATACTGTTCACATATTAACTTGATAAGATACCAGAGCAGAGATATTCCAAATGTCAAGGATCTTTAAATGAAAGCAAGTTCAGTTTGCTTGGTAAAATGGTGGGTCAGTAAAAATGAGGAGCCCTCCGGTACCCCAAGAGGTGGACTGACACAGTGCAGCAGCAACAGGTTCAGACATAACAGCAATGATGTGCCTGGGGGCTGCATGACTTGATGGCACCTAACAACAATAGCAACGTCACCAAGCTC